TGTAAATGAGTTTCCTTTTTTTCTGTTATACTTCAGAGCTGAGAGATTTGTGCCAGGGAAATGGATTCACAGAATTGGAGTGCAGAATAAATGGATGCAAAAGCCACACATCATTTACTTGGTTTTAATGTGTATTTTAGACAAATCTAATGATGGCCCACATATACATACTTGTCAAAGCCACTTAAAAAGGGAGTCTAGAAAGGAGCGTTGACTACTTTACTGTGAAAACATAACAAAGCCTAATTCTGATAATCTTCCAGACGTATAATTTCCCAATCAGATTTGGTTTTAGGTATAAACCATTCTGAGTGGGTGGACAGATATTATCATTTTGACTTCATTTGAAACAAGTGCTTAATGACGAATTCACTTGAAGACCTTGATACTGAATTACATTTTTACATCTGAACCACTTCTGAACTAATTCTGGATGAATTTTACCTTGAAAACCCAATGGATGACCTCATTAGATGGGCCACCAGAAACGCCACATATTGTGGTGCCCGTCAGGGGGTATGGGGCACCTATTGCCGCATACCTCGCATCGCCGCATACCTCGCATCACCCAACTCACCCGTCTCCCCATCCCATGTGGGGAAGCATTGGCTGCCCGGCTTCCCCTGTTGATCTTAATTGAACATGGGAAGCCTCCCATGTTGCTGCTGCAGTGGCATGTGCCAGTTCACCTTTTACCATGGAGCCCCATGGGAAGTGGTTGTGCATCATGGAATGAAAATCAACATGTTGTTGTTCATTCATTCAGTTGTTTCCGACTCTTTGTGACTTCATGGACCAGTCCACACCAGAGCTCCCTGTCGGCCGTCACCACCCCCAGCTCCTTCAAGGTCAATCCAGTCACTTCAAGGATACCATCCATCCATCTTGCCCTTGGTCGGCCCCTCTTCCTTTTTCCTTCCATTTTCCCCAGCATCATTGTCTTCTCTAAGCTTTCCTGTCTTCTCATGATGTGGCCAAAGTACTTCATCTTGGCCTCTACTATTCTTCCCTCCAATGAGCAGTCAGGCTTTATTTCTTGAAGTATGGACTGGTTGGATCTTCTGGTGGTCCAAGGCACTCTCAGCACTTTCCTCCAACACCACAGTTCAAAAGCATCTATCTTCCTTCAGCTCAGCCTTCCCTATGGTCCAGCTCTCACATCCGTAGGTGACTATAGGGAATACCATTGCTTTAACTATGCGCATTTTGGTTGCCAGTGTGATGTCTCTACTCTTAACTATTTATCAAGATTTGTCATTGCTCTCCTCCCAAGAAGTAAGCGAAAATAGACACAGTCCATGGCAAAAAAGAAGGTGAAACAGCATATGCCCCATCTGATGTTGTATATAACAGATATGGAAAACTTCTTGCGGCTCGGAAACTCCAACTGGTCCAACGGTCGGCGGCCAGGATGTTAACTGGCGCCCCCTACAGAGAGAGGTCAACCCTCCTGTTTAAGGAGCTCCATTGGCTGCCGTTCATCTTCCGGGCTCAATTCAAGCTGCAGGTGCTTACCTACAAAGCCCTAAACGGTTTGGGACCCGCCTACCTGCGTGACCGCATCTCCATATATGAACCCACGCATTCCCTTCGATCATCTGAAGAGGCCCTGCTCACGATCCCACCTGCATCACAGGTGCGTCTGGTGGGGACAAGGGACAGGGCCTTCTCTGTGGTGGCCCCCCGAGTCTGGAACTCTCTCCCCAAGGACATCAGACGAGCCCCAACGCTGGCTGTCTTTAGGAAGAGTCTGAAGACCTGGCTGTTCCAGTGTGCCTTCCCAGAATAGGGAACTCCTGACATCAAGTCCCAAATGCACTTTGTTAGAGATTCAGGATTATTTGCACATTGCACCTACCTCCAAATACCTCTACATATCACTTGTCAAGTCTAGCACTTTTATATTTTGTCCATTACACTTGGTCCGGCCCTTGGTTTTAAATGCGTCACTGTGTCATTGTTTTTTATTGTTCTAGTGCTTTGCTTGATGTTTTATTTGCTTATGACTTTTATTGTGTATGTGTATGTTATTGTTGTTGGCGGCCTTGGCCTTTGTAAGCCGCATCGAGTACTTCGGGAGATTTTGCGGGGTATAAATAAAGATAATAATAATAATAATAATAATAATAATAATAATAATAATAATTGCAGAAGACTGGGGTGGTAATGCTTGCTGCTGGTATGAAAAGGCTGCCAAGAGAGGGATAGGACTAAATATCTTGTCTGGTTTCAAAATAGCCAACTGAATCCTGAACTTCAGATTGCAAAAAATGTGTGTTTTAGTTTTGACAAATTTTACATTTTCTCGTTCCTTTATATATATATATATTACATATTCAGCCCAAGAGTCTCAGATAGCTCAATCCTGTACTGATCTATTTAAGCTTAGGGGAAAGAAGGGATTTCTGAATGCACATAATACAGATTTGCAGAACTGATTAAAGGGTCTTGTGTGCCTTTTCTTCCCTGCAGTGCCTGTTGCAATCCTTGTATATCTGCACATAAGCTCACAGACATTGCTCTGCTCAGTCTATGCCAAACTTTGAAGATCTTCAAAGTGCTCCAGGGCTGGAAGCCAAACCCTGGCTTTTCTGCAGAATGTCATTGTAATTAGATAAATAATATCTGTGGGGAGGGGGGATGCAGAGAAGGAGCAGTGGGAAAGGAGTCTAAATGGAAGCTTTCCTTTGTGGGAGGAAGTAATTATACATATTTACAATCTGAGTTAAGTCAGTCCTGCTTGGAAAAGGAGGTTTAATGTCATATCTGAAAAGCTTGTAAATTAAATTCTGGTCAATGGTGGGCCACAGGCAGGCAAGCAGGCAGGCAGTGTTTATTCCCATGCAGTCAGCAGTGAAGAAACATAGGATTTGGGATAGTACTTTCCTGTCTCTCACCATGATGGGCAATACCAGAGATCCTCAAAGTAAGGCCCTGGGGCTGGATACGGCCCTCCAAGGTCATTTACCCAACCCTCGCTCAGGGTCAACCTAAGTCTGAAACTACTTGAATAGGAGCATAGTGTCTAGGTCCAGGGAAGTAATGCTACCTCCTCTATTCTGCTTTGGTTAGACCACACCTGGAATATTGTGTCCAATTTTGGGCACCACAATTCAAGAGAGATATTGACAAGCTGGAATGTGTCCAGAGGAGGGCGACTAAAATGATCAAGGGTCTGGAGAACAAGCCCTATGAGGAGCGGCTTAAGGAGCTGGGCATGTTTAGCCTGAAGAAGAGAAGGCTGAGAGGAGATATGATAGCCATGTATAAATATGTGAGAGGAAGCCACAGGGAGGAGGGAGCAAGCTTGTTTTCTGCTTCCCTGGAGACTAGGACGCGGAACAATGCTTCAAACTACAAGAGAGGAGATTCCATCTGAACACGAGGAAGAACTTCCTGACTGTGAGAGCTGTTCAGCAGTGGAACTCTCTGCCCCGGAGTGTGGTGGAGGCTCCTTCATCATCATCATCATCATCATCATCATCATCATCATCATCATCATTTAATAACTTATTAATCGCCCTCCATCCGAGAATGCTCTAGGCGATTTACAGCTAAATTATAAAAGATAAAATACATACATACAAAAATTAAAAATTAACAGAGATCGAATGCTCTAGTAAAAAGCCAGGTCTTAAGTGCGAGAGTAAAAGGCCCTCAGTCATGCATGGCTCTCATGTAGGGCGGCAAGGAATTCCACAAGGCAGGGGCAGAAATAGAAAAAGCCCTGCGTCTGGTCCTTTCCAAGTGCACTTCTCTAGGACCCGGTATATGGAGTAAGTCACGTTGGGCTGGTCGTTGCGACCTCCGATGATGGGAGAAGGAGAGGCGGTCCATAAGGTACGATGGACCCTTCTTTGGAAGTTTTTAAACAGAGGCTGGATGGCCATCTGTCAGGGGTGATTTGAATGCAATATTCCTGCTTCTTGGCAGGGGGTTGGACTGGATGGCCCATGAGGTCTCTTCCAACTCTTTGATTCTATGATTCTATGAGTAAGTACTTCATTAGTGTCACAAATGGACGATGAAGTGACAGCTCCCCTGGTGGCCAGAATACCCTCATGAAAAAGCTGGAATGTTAAATAGCCTCTATGTGTCTGTCTATATATGTTGTGTGTCTATGGTATTGAATGTTTGCAATGTATATTGACTCATAGAATCATAGAATCAAAGAGTTGGAAGAGACCTCATGGGCCATCCAGTCCAACCCCCTGCCAAGAAGCAGGAATATTGCATTCAAATCACCCCTGACAGATGGCCATCCAGCCTCTGTTTAAAAGCCCCCAAAGAAGGAGCCTCCACCACACTCCAGGGCAGAGAGTTCCACTGCTGAACAGCTCTCACAGTCAGGAAGTTCTTCCTTGTTCAGATGGAATCTCCTTTCTTGTAGTTTGAAGCCATTGTTTTGTGTCCAGGGAAGCAGAAAACAAGCTTGCTCCCTCCTCCCTGTGACTTCCTCTCACATATTTATACATGGCTATCATATCTCCTCTCAGCCTTCTCTTCTTCAGGCTAAACATGCCCAGCTCTTTAAGCCGCTCCTCATAGGGCTTGTTCTCCAGACCCTTGATCATTTTAGTTGCCCTCCTCTGGACACATTCCAGCTTGTCAACATCTCTCTTGAATTGTGGTGCCCAGAATTGGACACAATATTCCAGGTGTGGTCTAACCAATATGTACATTATAATCCGCCCTGAGTCCCCTGTGGGTGTAAATAAATACTGTAAATAAATAAATAAATAAATACTAAAGCCAGCATATATCTGTTATCAATGATAGTGTGTGTGTGGTGGAATAGTGGATTTGTACAGTTGTCGCTGTTACAACCCATGTCTCTTCTGATTACACTTTTGCTAATGTAGTCCTAACACATTTTTCCTATCTGCATTCTTGTGTAACAGTGTGAACTGTGACCTTTGGGGGAAAAACAGGAGGAATAAGGGGACACAGACTGGAATTGATCCAATACTCTCTTTTTTGTTTCCTTTCTTTTTCCCTAGGCTGTCCAGTTTTGAAGACTGGAGTGGAGCTGAAACATATATATATGTATGTTTGTGGCTTGTGAAACCTTAATAACCTCAAGAGAACTGGTCTGAGGAACCATTTGACTTCCCTTGCTTTGAACTCCTGCAGAGACTTTGGAGAGAACAGCAAGCAACACAGTACCGAAGCTAAGACGCTGGATATCCTGCAATGTCTCTCCCCGAGAGACTGGACTAACACACAAAGAGCTTATTCAAGTTTGTGTTTATTTGTTGGAGCTCGCTCTCTTTTCTTTTGTGTATGTATGTCTCTGTATGTGTGTTTAAAAAAAAGAAATCAGGAACACATTATTGAGAAATCCTTCCTTTGGATTTTGTGTTATCTTTGTGTTTTTCGTCTATAGTTTAATTAAACTCATGTTGTTTAAACTAATATAAAAAAACTGGACCAAGGCTTTTCGGAAAAACAAAATTTCCAAATTCTGCACATTTTTTTCGGCGAAAGAAGCCTGGAATATAGATTCGTCTCGACATCCTTAGCACCATGTTCTTACTGGTTTGCTTCAGCTAATCCTCTCTCTTATGCAAGTTGTCCTGTGCAGGTGTGATGGTTTAGGATTTGATTTATTTATTAAGATGTTTTTAAACCAAAGACTGCAACAGTGTGTACACTGCTTCTCTGGCTCATAAATGTTTTTTTTTTAAATAAGTGATGCAGATATTTGATTTATTTGACATATATTAAAAGGAGTCAACATCACACAGAGATCTATAAGGATTCAAGGTGGTTTGTATCATTAAATGTGCTATCTGTAGGGTTTTTTTACTGCGGTTATTTCAAATATATCAAGCACAGTAATTTAAACCTATTGATTTCAATAAAGGTGTTCTGTCGCGCGCTGGGCTTAAAACGAATTGCTTTTAAAACAGGACGTGCAACTTTAGCCCAGCAGGAAGCCAGGGGGCCCGAAGAGAAATTCTTAAGGATTTTCAACATAAACAGTCTCTAGAGGGCTTGTAAAGTATAACAAAGACTTTTATTGGTGAACAATGAACAGAAACTTCTTTTGTCTTCAAAAGGTTAAACAAATGCTTCCAGGCTTTTGTGCAACTGGTGGCTTCTAACTGTTACTTTTACTCTAAAGGAAAATCCCTTTCCAAACTTCTCCCAGGCTAACTGTGAACCTAAACCTAACTGATGTGGGCTCCACTACCGGGTTGAACTGTGTCTCAAAGCACCGAGTGGACCTACCAGTAGGCCTGCAGTCACTTCAGCTGGAGTTCTTAGATATTCAAAGCTGCTTCCTGCGCCGCCTCCAGAAGGGCCTCTTGCGCTGCTCAGGCCACTCTCCTTCTTCGTGCCCCCACTCCGCCGCCATGGCATCTCTGCCTCCCAGCCCCACCAAGCCTCGCGAGAAGCTCCTTTTCTCTTGCAAGACAAAGTTGTCTCGTGGGTGAAGAGGTGCTTCTTGTGAGGCCTGGCCAGGAAGAAGGAGAGCGGCCTGAGCAGCGCAGGAAGCAGCCCAGGGGTCTGGGCGCCAACAAGGGAGAGGCCTAGACCTGAGCAAGGAATGCAGCCAGGAAGGACAGGGAGCCATGAGCCAAGGCAGCGGAGGAGGAGGAAGAGGCGGCGGAGGAGGAGAGCCTGTGGCCAAGGCCCTCCACATGAAGAGGCTCTACCGGTGAGGAAGAGGAGGAGAGAGAGAGACCCCCAAGGGCTGCGGTGTGCCTGGGATTTATTTATTTATGTATTTATTTACAGCTTTTATATTCCGCCCTTCCCATATTTAACGTTTTTTCTGGCCGCCAGGGGAGCTGTCGCTTTCATCGTCCATCTGCGACGCTGATGAAGCCCTTCCACATTCCCCGCATGCTTCCCCGCTGGAATGCTTTGCTGGAGTCTTCTTTATGGCCTCATAAATCAGTTAATTTAGCCTCCCCACACTTTAAGGTGGTACCTTATTTTCCTACTTGACAGATGCAAATGTCTTTCGAGTTGCAAAGGTCAACAACAGGCAACACACAATTGGTTGGAAACCCACTCCAACCTGGGCTGGCTTCGAACTCATGACTTTTTGGTCAGAGTGATCTTAATGCAGCTGACACTCAGCCAGCTGTGCCACAATCCTGGTGCCTGGATGGGCTCCCCGAGGCATTCTAGGAGCCGTAGTTTGTAATTTTATCATTATTTTAATTTTATACCCATCGTACTAGACGACCCCCAAAATTTTATAAGGTTTTACATGCCTAAAAAGTTGTCTAGTACCCCGGAATATACGGTATTTTTACAATAGACATTGTCACATGATACAAGTATACAGCAGACAATAATTGACATAGCATTTCATCATTCCAGTAAAATGACAACTACAAGAGAAATGTCAACAGGACAACCACGGTAGTATGAGGGATTTTTTTTTTATCACAAAGGAATTTGATTACAATCAAATCCATGATTTTTAAGCTTCCACCTTACATTTGTTTTTTCTTAGTAATTCATGAATCTGTATGAGAAGAGCATTACAAAGATGAGGTTAGTGAGCTCTCTTAAATCTATATAAATAAAAATGTAATGTTCGTTTGTGAGATTAACATAATTCAAAAACTACTGGATGAATTGACACCAAATTTGGATACAATACATCTGTCAGGCCAACAAGTGACTATCACTCATAAAAACACTGAAAAATACAGCAGAAGAGACTTAAAAAGCCAAAAACCAAAAATTACATTACAACGCATGCGCAAAACCACACATATACACATATACACAAATATATGCACACACAAAACACACATACAAAGACTGGGCACAGCAACACGTGGCAGGGGATGGATAGTCTTTGATAAATGAAAAATGTTCCAGAAGAGGAGTTCAGACATGGATGAGTTGAAGGCAAAATCAGAGTTTTATTTCCCAATGGCCAGAAAGGATGTCAGCAGAGAAAGCACTCCAAAGAACTAATATGCTACAATTCTATTATAATTCAAATAATCAATGGATGCTTAAGGTAATGACAGTCTCAATGGGTGCTGCAATAGTTAGGTCTAGCATTAAGGCAAAGAAGAGGGAACATTCCTAGAGACAACCCAAATTTCATCACGTGAAACAGGAAAAAAAGACCCAGGGCTCTTTGCAAACCTCATGGGCCATCCAGTCCAACCCCCTGCCAAGAAGCAGGAATATTGCATTCAAATCACCCCTGACAAATGGCCATCCAGCCTCTGTTTAAAAGCTTCCAAAGAATGAGCCTCCACCACACTCCGGGGCAGAGAGTTCCACTGCTGAACGGCTCTCACAGTCAGGAAGTTCTTCCTCATGTTCAGATGGAATCTCCTCTCTTGTAGTTTGAAGCCATTGTTCCGCGTCCTAGTCTCCAAGGAAGCAGAAAACAAGCTTGCTCCCTCCTCCCTGTGGCTTCCTCTCACATTTATATATGGCTATCATATCTCTTCTTAGCCTTCTCTTCTTCAGGCTAAACATGCCCAGCTCCTTAAGCCGCTCCTCATAGGGATTGTTCTCCAGACCCTTAGTCGCCCTCCTCTGGACACATTCCAGCTTGTCAATATCTCTCTTGAATTGTGGCGCCCAGAATTGGACACAGAATTGGACACAGTCTTCCAGATTTACAAAATGCCTAAGTATAACGATCATTGCTAATAGTGGCAAGGAGATTGTCATTTGGAATTATTCATGCTTTGCTTGCCAGAACACACCTATTTTTAGACTTAGTGTAGTGAAAGAAAGTGGGCTTTGCCAAGCCTTCAGTACCAGCCATGATCTTTTGGGTGGTTGTGGACAATTCACACTCTCTCTGCCCTAGTTCTCCAAAAATAAATATGCTTGACAGGAAAGCCCAAGATTGCCACAAGACCGAACAACATAATTGTCGTAATTGAATTGTGCTGTTATAGATTAATCCAACAATAACAAGAATAGTGGGGTTTGACATTATGATAATCGTCATTAATACTGGTGATAAATGAAAAGGAAAAAACATATTCTAGGTGGAATTCTAAATGGCCCTTGTAATTTCTTTCTTTCCTTCGAAGCAATAAGTTATAACTTCCGAGCCAGCCGGAGTCCCTTTGGAACAGCTGGAAAATGCTGCTGACCAAGGAAGGGGGGAAGGAAAAAGAGGAGGAAGAGGAGGAGGAGAGTTGGCACCAGCTCAGAAATGTTTGCAAGCTTGTAACTCTTGGGGCCACCCAAGTGCGGTTTCTGGAAAGGACAGCCAGCCTATATTGAACTGCGTGACAAACACAATGAATCAATGCTCCTGCTCAGGGCAAAAGAAAAACAAATAGTTTTATTGCAAGCCTTCAATTATTTAAATTTTCTGCCCTCAACCTAAGGCAGGCAAAGCTAAGTTCATGCCACTGAAATTCTGTTAATTTATTTACCAGGTTCTTGTTGGTTTTTTCGGGCTATAGGGCCATGTTCTAGAGGCATTTCTCCTGACATTTCGCCTGCATCTATGGCAAGCATCCTCAGAGGTAGTGAGGTCTGTTGGAATTAGGACAATGGGTTTATATATCTGTGGAATGGCTGGGGTGGGGCAAAGAGCTCTTCTCTGCTGGAGCTAGGTGTGAATGTTTCAACACCCTTAGCAAACTGGGTACAAGGAACTCCAAATGTTCAACTGACTTGCTGTGTGATGTACAATAGTATGCAATTTATTAATAGTTGTTTTTTTCAGTCGGCTCTGCATAAATAGATCAGTGTCATCTATTTTTACAGCAAGGATGGTCAGGCTATGAGTGATTGGCCCAAGGTCCCCCAATGGGGTCCATGTCTGAGAAGAGATTTCAGCATGGTCTCCTTGGTCCTATTTTGATATTCACCCCACTAGGGGCGCTTCCAGACAGGGCTTAAACGCGCTTTGGAGCAGGCTAAAGAAACCTGCTCTGAAGCAGAAATTTTGTGGAAAAAATGAGATCAATTACACAATTGTCCAATTTTGATGATGGTGATGATGATGATGATGATTATTATTGTATCATAGAATCAAAGAGTTGGAAGAGACCTCATGGGCCATCCAGTCCAACCTCCTGCCAAGAAGAAGGAATATTGCATTCAAATCACCCCTGACAGATGGCCATCCAGCCTCTGTTTAAAAGCTTCCAAAGAAGGAGCCTCCACCACACTCCGGGGCAGAGAGTTCCACTGCTGAACAGCTCTCACAGTCAGGAAGTTCTTCCTCATGTTCAGATGGAATCTCCTCTCTTGTAGTTTGAAGCCATTGTTTCGTGTCCTAGTCTCCAAGGAAGCAGAAAACAAGCTTGCTCCCTCCTCCCTGTGGCTTCCTCTCACATATTTATACATGGCTATTAGGCCTGTGCGATTTCGTTCATTAATTCGTTAATTCGTTATTAATTCGTTTATTTTTGCATTTTTGAAGCGATATCAAAACACATTTTTAAACCCGGAAGGGTTTAAAAATATCGAAACAACGGCAGCCCCATATATTTTACGAGCTTCCGCTCGTTTCGTTAATGGGATGGAGGCTGCTGGAGTGCTGGTGCCTGGCATTCCCCTCTTTCCCGGCCTGGGCTGCTCTCCCCGCCCTCTTTCCCCTCTCCCCGTTTTCCAACACTCCTCCTCCTCCTCCTTCCCTCTCTTCCTCCCTCCCCAGGTCTGTGCGAGCCAGGCATCCTTTCCTGAGGGCCGCGCTGCCGCCCTCCTCCTCCTCCTCCTTTTTCTCCGGT